ATGGGACTCTCTGTGCTTCCTGGACTTGGGTGACTATTTCCTTTCCCACGTTAGGGAAATTTTCCACTATAATCTCTTTGAATATTTTCTCAGACCCTTTCTTTTTCTCTTCTTCTTCTGGCTCCCCTATAATTCAAATGTTGGTGTGTTTAGTGCTGTCCCAGAGGTCTCTGAGATTGTCTTCAATTCTTTTCATTCTTTTTTCTTTATTCTTCTCCTCAGCAGTTATTTCTACCATTCTGTCTGCCAGCTCACTTATTCGTTCTTCTGCCTCAGTTATTCTGTTATTGATTCCTTCTAGTGTATTTTTCATTTCAGTTATTTTGTTGTTAATCTCTGATGGTTTGTTCTTTAGTTCTTCTAGATCTTTGTTCTTCTAGATCTTTGTTAAACATTTCTTGTATTTTCTCGATCCATGCCTCCATTCTATTTCAGAGATTCTGGATCATCTTTACTATCATTACTCTATCTCATCTTCACTATCATTACTCTATCATTACTCTGAATTCTTTTTCAGGTAGGTTGCCTATTTCCTCTTCATTTATTTGGTCTTGTAGGTTTTTACCTTGTTCCTTCATCTGTGCCATATATTTTGTCATCCCTTTTTTTTTTTTTTTGGACGGGTGGGATTGTGTTCCTGTCTTACTGGTTGTTTGGCCTGAGGCTTCCAGCACTGGAGTTTGTAGGCTGTTGGGTAGAGCTGGGTCTTGGTGCCAAGATGAGGACCTCCAGGATACCTCACTCTGTTGAATATTCCCTGGGGTCTGAGGTTCTCTGTTAGTTGAGTGGTTCAGACTCAGCGCTCCCACCGCAGGAGCTCAGGCCTGACCCCTGGCTTGTGAACCTAGATCCCACAAGCCGTGCAGGATGGCACAAAAAAAGGAGCAGAACAGTAAGAAAGAGTAAAAAATAAAATAAATTAGAAAACTAACAGATATGTTAGAAAAAAATTAAAATATAGATGAGGGTGTTCCCTGGTGGTGCAGTGGTTAGGAATCTACCCGCCAGTGCAGGGGACACAGGTTCAAGCCCTGGCCCGGGAAGATCCCACATGCCACGGAGCAACTAAGCCCATGTGCCACAACTACTGAGCCTGTGCTCTAAAGCCTACGAGGCACAACTGCTGAGCCCATGCACCACAACTACTGAAGCCAGTGTGCCTAGAGCCCCTGCTCCACAACAAGAAAAGCCACTACAGTGAGAACCACGCGCACTGCAACGAAGAGTAGCCCCTGCTCGCCACAGCTAGAGAAAGCCCACGTGCAGCAACAAAGACCCAATGCAGCCAAAAATAATAAAATAAATAAATTTATCAAAAATATATATATAGATGAAACAACAACCAGAATGTAAAACAACCACAATAGCAAAAAAGCGGAGGAAAAAAAAAAAGCCAGAAAAGGCCTTGGCTGTGGGGCATGGGGCTTAGGCAGGGGCAGGGTTTAGGTGATGGGCGGGACCTATGTTTAGGGCCCACAGGGCTGGAAAAGGAGGGGCCCAGGAGTGCCTCTGGCTTTGGAGGGCAGAGGACCAGGTCCAGGACCCCAGCAGGATCCCTGGGCCCGAGCGGGTAGGGGATATGCTAGGCGTGTTCCCCCATCCTCCGATCCCAGAGCTTCCCTCCCTGTTAGCCTCTCTTCTTCCCCCCCACTCCTATGCCCCTAGGACCCATGTGGCCAGAGGGTGGCCCCAGAAGGCAGGGAACCAGATGTGGAAGTTCAACAGGCTTCCCAGGGCCGAGTGGGCAGGGGAAATACCTGCAGCACTTCCCCTGATCCTCTGGTCCCAGAGGGTTCCCTGTCCACTGTCCACCTCTCCTCCTCTTCTCCCCACTCCATCCCTCCCACACCCCTAGCACCCATGCGGCCGGAGGGGGCACCAGAGGGCAGAGGACCAGGCTCAGGAGCCCAGCAGGCTTCCCGGGGCCCAAGTGAGCAGGGGAAACGCCCACCGCGCCTCCCCTGGTCTTCCGAGCCCCTGAGGGTTCCTCCAGGCATGGGAACCCCTCCCCTCACCCAGCCACCCCTCATGGGCACCGGTCCTGTCCAGCCTCCACTTCTCCTGCCCCCTCACTCCCCCCCCACATCCTACCCAGTCACTTGGGGGTTCCTCCTCCCATCTCCTTGGGCTTCAAGGTCCCCCACCAGCGTCCGGCAGGTGGTGCCCTAGTTGTGGGAAGATGCGAACTCCGCGTCCTCCCGTGCTGCCATCTTGACTCCATGCCCTTGGAAAAAAATATTAAAAACTTTTTAAAATTTCACTTTATTGAAAAAAGGTCATAGAGCTTCAGTATCCAACCTTTTTAGAAAAAATCATTAAAAATATTTTTTCTCCTGAGGTCTTGAAATCACTCTTGGAGTATAGAAATGGCAATAATCCTGGCAGCCTGTACCATCGTGGCAGAATTATTTTGGGGCTGAGAGAAAGGAGACATGTTGCCTTTTCCCTCTACTCCTCAACTAGTCAAGATATGATGGTTGATATTTTATACCTGTGATTGATCTGCTAGCATAAACTTTCCAGCAAGAACTGAAAATGTTGGGGGTGTCCCAAATAGAAATAACGACAGAAATCAAGACAAGCTGAATGTTACAAGCACTGGCACTCGATGCCTCTGTGGGTTGGAAAAAGAAAGCCAACATAAAAGAAGTTTTATTGTCTGAGGAAAATACAAATTGAATGAATGAATGAGTGAATGCTAGGAGAGATTCAATGTTGTAGTGCCCCAGAAATTTTCAAGCATCACAGGAAAAAGTTTGATATATTTTTTGATAGAAAAGATGGGAGTTAAGCTTTCTTGGGAAGACAATGACTTTTCAAATTTTTACCCTCATACTCTACAGACACTGTCTCATTTTATCCTCAGTTCAGCTGTGTGAGGTGTAAGGATCATTATCCTCAGTTGGCAGATGAGAATACTGACACCTAGAGAGCTTGAGTAATTTGTCCAAGGGTGCACAGTGATAGTGCTGGGATTTGAACACAGGACACCTGACCAAAGGTTGTGCCCTTAATCCTATGGTGTATAGATACTAGTGGTTTTTAAAGTATGAGAATCATGGAGTTGCACCATCAGCGTCACCTGGGAACTCATTAGAAATGCAAATTCTCAGGCCTTATCCCAAGCCTGCTAAATCAAACTCTGGGGATGGGGCCCAGCAACCTGTGTTTTGAGAAGTCCTCCAGGTGATTCTGGTGCACACTCATGCATGAGAACCACTGTTGTATTTGCTCTGACAGAGATGTTGGAAGGAAAACTGATAAAGAACTTTTTTAGGGATTGTGTTAGAGATGTCAAGATAGTAGTGGAGAATACGGGAATGAAGGGATACCATGTAAAGCTCCAGTAGTGAAAAGGATATGAGAAGGGAAAGAATGTCATTGATACTGGTAGGAAGCAACTGTGGAGAAAAATTAGATGTGTTGTTTGGGTTTCATGTTCTCAAATGAAATGATTGGAATTAGAACAGTGTGTTAGTTATAATTGCTTCAGTATAAATGAAGAGGTCAGTTACATAAGGGCAATCAAATACTTCAGGATTAAAGTTGAATTATTTCACAGTCATTGTAGAAGTTGAAATTTAACTGGGATCAAAGAGGGATTCTCTTCTTTTTTCTGTGAATTAAAAAAAACAAAAACTAAATAGTGTATATGTTGATGTGATCCTGGTTACGTGGGTTTATACATTTGTCAGAACTAATCAAAGTATATGCCCTAAAAATTGGCCGCGTATTATCATATGTAAATTCCGTATGAATAAGTTGATTTAAAAATGGGAGTGTGGGACTTCCCTGTGGCACAGTGGTTAAGAATCCACCTGCCAATGCAGGGGACACAGATTCGAACCCTGGTCCAGGAAGATCCCACGTGCCACGGAGCAACTAAGCCCGTGCACCACAGCTACTGAGCCTGTGCTCTAGAGCCCGTGAGCCACAACTACTGAGCCCGTGTGCCACAACTACTGAAGCCCGTGTGCCTAGAGCCCATGCTCCACAACAAGAAAAGCCACTGCGATGAGAAGCCCTTGCACCGCAACGAAGAGTAGCCCCCCGTCACCGCAACTGGAGAAAGCCCGCGCACAGCAGCAAAGACCCAAAACAGCCAAAAATAAATAAATAAAATTTTAAAAATTTTTTAATAAATAAAAAATAAATAAAAGTGTGTTCCTGTGTCAAGTAGTGAGTTCCTGTCACTGGAGGTGTTTGAGCAGAGATTCAGTAGCCACTTGTCAGAAGTGTAGTGAGGCTTCACACAGCTGAGGGGAAAATTGCACTCAATGACCTAAACATTCCTTCTACCCAGAGATTCCATGAGTTTCTGTTGTGTCAGCACAGGTGTTGCCTTTTTATGTAGAATGCTTTATTAATATGTTGGATCTGAAACATTTTAACTTGTCACGATTTTAAAATGTACTAAAGTGTACAGGTGTAAAACATGGGCCAAAAATAAAACATGGGACAGTAAATTCATTTACTACTCCCTAGTGCATATCACAGGTGGAACAATTTCATGGCAGATCAAGCCATATTATATTCTTATTCCTAAAATATAATAATTTGTGTTTATTGGATCAAGGGCATTTAACTCCTAGGGAAGTTTGCCTGTTTTAAACTGAATCTTCAAAGAAGGTAAGTTAGAAAAGGCTTTTTGGTTTGATTTTGTTTTTGTTTTTTTCTGTAAAACCCAACATGACACGTAAATGCTTATTTAGATATTTTTCCTCCTGGAAAGTAGATTCATTTGGAGAATAATATGTTTGTATGTTTGATTGAATTTTAGTGTGAGATGCTTTTTCCTATAAAGGTGCCACCCTCATCTAATAATTAAGTTACCCTCCTTTTTTCATGAGTGAATTTTACTTTCGACATCGTTTATCAGATGCTATTAAGACTGCAAGGCTGTAGTACCCAGGGCTCTGATTACAGGAATTAAAATAGTGTGTATTGGCTGACTGCTGCTGCCCAGCAGGGACGCTCACTCATAATTCCTTTGCATCTAGTCTCAGCAGGAGAAGATTGACAGCGTTGAAGACCATGTCAACAGTGCTGCTGTGAACGTTGAAGAGGGAACCAAAAACTTGGGGAAGGTAAGATTCTGCTCCTGCTGACAAATCAATGGTACTCTGGCTCTCAGGAATCCCTAGTATTAACCCAATTGATTTGCTCTCTTTAATGTTGAGGGAACCAGCAATTAAGAAAATAAGGAAGAAATGACACATAGGTAGTGTGAGAAATCAATGGCTCTTGTAATATTCTGCTCTAAGATTCATTCTGTTGGGAGAGAAATTTTTTCAAAGAGAATAAACTGAAGCCCTACTTTAAGGCATTTGGTGTTACAAGGGGATATTTGCAGGAGTTCAGGGAGAGGCATAGAGAGGGTTCCCAGAATCCAATAGGGGCAAAATTGTAAGGACATGACAGCACACATGGAGTGGGTCCATTTGTTTCCCATAGAATGTTGCTTTTAACCCCAGGTATTCACACGAAATAATCTCTGCAATTTAAAAGCTTTGGGAGTATCTGTGGCTGCTGAAACTGTTTAAATAAGCCAGCTAGATAGTTAGTGGATTGATTGTTTTGCAAGTAAAATCAATTTATAGCAGTCTACTCTTTGTAGCTCATTTCTCTTAAGTTCTGAGATCTGGATCAATTGTAGTACCTGTGGAATATTTTCTCCCCTCCCCTGACCCCAGAATGATCTCTAAGGTTAATTATGTACCACGAGTTAAAGAGGCATTGCCAGGAGTAATGAGAGGAAAATGCACATCACCACAGGGAGATATTCTCAACTCAATTTCTAAATTGAATTTTTTTTTTTTTTTTTTTTTTTACAGGCTGCAAAATACAAGCTGGCAGCTCTGCCTGTGGCAGGTGCACTCATCGGAGGAGTGGTGGGGGGTCCGATTGGCCTCCTTGCAGGCTTCAAAGTGGCAGGAATTGCAGCTGCACTTGGTGGTGGGGTGTTGGGCTTCACAGGTGGAAAATTGTTACAAAGAAAGAAACAGAAAATGATGGAGAAGCTCACTTCCAGCTGTCCAAATCTTCCCAGCCAAACTGACAAAAAATGCAGTTAAAAACCAAACTTCAGTATTACTGGCGCCAACATGTCTATCCTTTGCTGCTGTTGGACACTCAGTCAGCTTTTGGAACATGATTATATCAAAATAGTGGCTACAGATGCTCAAGTGGGATTGAACTGTGATAAGTGGATATATTTTGTTGTTTACTGGGGTGTTAATGGGGATGTTAGAGATTGAGGAGCCTGGACTGAGGTTGTACAGTGTTTGTCAGGTAAAGTTTAAGGACTGCCAGGGAGCAGATTTTTTACCTGGAAATGTGAAAACCCAACCATAACTTTGATAAGGATTTGTGATGTGTGAACATGTTGGGTTATGGAAGGATAGTTTTCAGAACAGTTTCTTCCATAACCCTGACTTGGAGACTCCAAGGCTAAGTATATTGTAAATATGCTTCTTTATCTCCTAAATATAGTTTTTTTAGGCATTTTAGCCGAGAAAAGAATAGAAGTTCAGCAGCTTTTCATACCAAATAGGGAAATCAGGACCTAGCAAGGTGCATGAGTAAACTGCATAACGGAGTCCGTTTGGTGAGCCCTATTGCAATTTGGTCTAACAATATTTTCAAGTGAAGGAAACAAATAGTGTAAGAAAGTGGAAAGAGAGGCCCAACTTCTCTTTCGTATATCTTAATTTATGACCCTGGCTTCTGCTCTGAACTCTTTTTTCTGCCTCTCTGTAAATAAAGAACACAGAGTCTCAAGTGGTAGACTTACAAAGCCAGTCACTAAGCTTGCTCTGTCAGCCTGTCTCTTAACACCTCAAATATCTAGTCCCCTCTGCCTTCCCTCCCTTGTAATTTTGAAAAGTTCTTTGACTTATGGGGTGAATTCTACCCATGTGTAATGCAGACTTCTCTCATAATCTGTTTTGGTTTTTTTTTTTAACATCTTTATTAGAGTATAATTGCTTTACAATGATGTGTCAGTTTCTGCTTTATAACAAATGTTTGGGTTTTTTTGTTGTTGTTTTTTGTTGTTTTTTTTTTTGGTATTGGCTGCCATCTTTGTTCATCCTCTACTGTAACCTCTAGGTAAAAGAGGAAGTGAGAGAAAGAGGAGGTGTCGATTTCCAAATACTTCCACCGCTGTTAGACTTTGAGCTAAAAAAATAAGCACGGGGGGAACACCAGATCATTTCTTGGGGCATCCTACAATTTCAGGGGGCTCATGTACTTGCCGTGCAGGGAGTGTTTGACCCTAAGTCTCTTAAGCTGGCACTTGGAGGAGCTAAGAACTAGCTTTCTACCTCACTTCTGTTGCTACCATCCTTTTCCCCAGGCTTTGCTATCTCCTGTGATTCCTTCACTTTGCACAGCTGCTGTTTCTTCCCAAGAATGGCATTCATGCTCGCCTTTTCTCACATTCAAGGTTGATGATGGACAAAGCCTGATGCCAAAACTCAGTCCTGGTGGATGATTTGTGGTGCTAATCTCAACACTTGACATTGACAGCAAGCATGGCTCAGCCCAACCCACTGTCTATCTCAAATAGCAGAAAAGTTTTAAATTTAGGAAAAAAGAACTTAAGATTATATAGGCAGCCTCATCCTGTACCCTCAACTGATTTGAAATAGGAAGGAACCACCTTTTGCCTTATTCTTTATTTTCTGAGGACAGAGGAAAGGGCACCTACACCACAGAAGATGTGAACTCTCTGCTCAGGAGCCAAATGGATTCATCGAGTAGTTGAATGGTTTATCACTTCTCTCTTGCTGAGTTTACTCTTAATAACTTTTATTGATTGCTACCTTTTACTTCTGTATCTAATCTAAAGAGACCTTTCTCTTTCATACTTTTTGCTTCTCACCAGTGAATTCCAATGAGGCAACCCACCATTTCTCATTGTTCTTAAATAACTGGAAAACATCAAGTATTGCTACCTGCTGACTCATATCTTAAATATAATACCAAGAAGGCAAGTACTTTGAGTAAGTGTCAGATTCTGATCCAGTATTTGATATGTGATCTTTATCCCAACCTGTAAGGTTGGGATAAATACTTTTGGACTCCTTCTTTCTATATTTTCTGATCCTTGCTGTCCCTTTAACACAGGGCGTTCAAACCAGAATGAGGATCGGAATTGCCCAGGGTGCTAATTTAAAACAAAATTCCTAAACTTCAGTCCCATGGGTTCTAATAATAGCCAATCTGGCCTGGTCAGCTAAAATTATAAATTTAAGATACAGTTATATCAAGATTCAGCTGTATTGTTGAATTCTGTAATTTCTAATATTCTACCCTTCAGCCAACCTAAAATTCTTATTCTGCCAACCTAAAGTTGACTAGCTCACCATCTTAACAGCAGTAGGGACTCATTATACTGTCAGGCTGGTTTTACCTCAAGACGTGAAGGAGAAAAGAGGCCTGTTATTGACCCTCACAGTTTGTTTTGGGAGCTCTCCTTTTTACTGAGCCAGTGTGGGACATCACTGTGGTATATGCTCATATAGGCCTTTGATTTTTACTACTCATCAGGATTTGAATATTACTCTAACAGTCTTCATGCTTAGGCAAGTTACAATCCTTTTAAAAAGTTTTATAATTTAAAATTATTTAGAAATTGTATCTAATTTCCCCATAATAGAACCTAATAGCCAACTTTTTGTAGAAATTCTAGATGTGCTTAAACAACTATAAATGATATACCTATAAACTATAAAGTGTTTAGAAGTATAAATTAGTCAATATAACACAGAAACCAATCTTAAAATAGAATTTAATGCCCTACAGTATCGGATTAAATTTATCTTCTCTATGATTCATGTCTTATTTTTATTGCAACAAGTCAGAAGATAAGGAACACTTTAAGTTCTTAAAATTTACAGGGTCTCATTTGGATAAAGGCAGCATTCCTAAAGCCTTTTTAATATAATAATCTGAGAATTTCTCTGTAGAGCAGAGACTTTGAAACTTTTTGGTTGTAATCCACAGTAAAAACTGCATTTATATCAAAACTCAGCATGTGCATTATGGAACAATACTTGCCATTATGTATAGTGTACTCTGATGTTTTTTATTGTTTCAGTTTTTTAAATATTCTAGTTGTAACCTACTAAATTGATTTCATAATCTACCAAAGGGTTTTTTGACCCTTAGTTTGAAAAAAAAAAAAAAAAAAAAACCCTTATAGAGGAACTGATATTTATGGAGTATTTTCTGTTTGCCAGGCACTTCACTAGGCATTTTACAGGTAAGGAAACTGGGCCTCAGAGAAGCTAAATAATTTGCAGAGGGTTATTCAACTACAAAAGGGTGAAGCCAGGATGTAAACTAGGTCTGTTGAGCTACAAAAACTTCTGTTACTCTCATACTTGTTGCTTCTGTATATTAAAATTGAGACGGGCTATTCACTCTGCTTCACCCAAACACCCATATATTCTGTAAGGCAGGCTTGCTTTGAAATTACACATGCCATTCATTTGCACTTTTCTTAAAATCTTCTGTTTCCTCACCAAATGGCCAGCAGCCTCGAAGTTTTTAATGGTGGCCAACGCAGAAGTACGTAGTGCTGAATTTGGTCCTTAGACTATAAAATTAATAGTGTTTCCATCCCATCCTACAGATTTCCTTATATTTGTGAGTCATAGCCATCACTTAAGCAGTGCTTTTTATATTGAATTTTAAAATAAACTTTAATATTTTTTTTTTTTTTTTTTTTGCGGTACGTGGGCCTCTCACCGTTGTGGCCTCTCCCATTGCGGAGCACAGGCTCCAGACGCGCAGGCTCAGCGGCCATGGCTCACGGGCCCAGCCGCTCCGCGGCATGTGGGATCTTCCCGGACCGGGGCACGAACCCATGTCCCCTGCATTGGCAGGCGGACTCTCAACCACTGTGCCACCGGGGAAGCCCCATAAACTTTAATATTTTTTAAAACAATCATAACTCATAGAATCAAGTGATTATCCTTTAAAACGGTACCCTTGGGAGGCCATGCACTTACTGTAGTGATGCTAGTATTACTTAGAATATTTTTGAAACTCTTCTTTTGGAATTGCCTCTAAAGACATTTTACAAATCACATAAAAAAAGCCATCTCAGTGTTTATCAGTCACAGACTATGCTCCCTTGTCCTTATGACCTCTTCTCTCTTCCTTCCTCAGTTTTGCTTTCCTTCTGCTGATTTAGCTCTCCTACCCACCTAAGCTGGAGCCAATAACCTAAGAAGCCCCAGAAAAGGGGTGTGCTGGCCAGAGTTCCTGGAGCAAGAACTTTCAGGTTATACTGAAGCCGAGTGCTGTATAGGGAGAGTTCTGTGAATCCAAAAACCTTCCTCTGTGGGCTGCCTGCCTGCCCGTAAGTGCCCTAAAGTCGTTTGCACAGGAGTAAGGACTGAATACTGGCGTTCTCTATCAATCATAAGAAGCTGTACATGAAATGTACAACATTTTTCTCCAGTGAAAGTCACAGAAGCCAAACCAAGCCATTCTTTGTGTTAACTTAAAAACAGAGAAGTCATTTTCAGGGTCCCCCTTGCCCTTCGTTGCTGCCACATGAAATCTTTGGGAGGAGGGATGAAGAAAAGCATGGGGAAATGGTTCTCCTGTGAAATGGGACATTTTCTTCTCATAATAAAGTATAACATGGCGGTGGCTATCAGGTACTTATGAGTGCTAGAAACTCTTTTTAAGTAGTCAGAGGCCTAATAAAAAGTAGGGAGGCTTCCCCCTAGCCTAAATTAATGTGAACAGTTCAGGTTCTGTTTGTGTTTTTATTAACATTTCATGTTGTTTCTAACAAGATGTTCTCAACTATTTATATTCATTAATTTGACACCATTTTACAGAGACACTTCTTGGGTATTGTAAACAGTCAATGGTAAAAGATCCACATATAGTCCATATTACTGCCCTCAAAGGAATTATTTATTGTGAGAGACAAGAAAAACGTCTGTGCAATATTAACAAAAGAAATAAATTCATATAGAAATGTAAAAGGTGTCAAAGGCAAATGATTTGCCCAAGATTAAAGCTAGTTAGCACAAAAGCTAGAATTATAGCCATGGTCTAAGAAAAAAAAATCCACAAAGTAATTTAACTGAGTTTGTTACACCATATCAGGTTGCCCGCTGAAGCCTGTGGTCTTTCAGACCAGCTTTAACATTCCAAATCAGTCAACAGCTATAGTGGAAAGAGAATTGGATGGGAATCAGGAGATCAGAGTTTTGGCTTTGTCACTTTTACTCAAGCGTGGCTCCTTTCTCCCATTCTAGCCAGGGATTCTCCATTCTTTATATCTAGCCTCTTACTGGGTCTTGTTAATTGTTTGAATATTAGTTGCGTTCATTTCTTAAATATATTCATAACCATCACTCTAGTAAAAGACTTTTTTACCTCACATCCCCTACCTCATCTTCCCCAACTTTAGGCCATTCCTCACATCATTGCCACAAGAACTGTCTTTCATTTTTCTGCTGAAATATTTTCAGCAGATCCTGTTGAATACCTGATAAAGTTCAGCCTTCCGTATACTGGCATATTCACTGGCCTCTTCATATTCACTACTCAACCATCTGACAATGCCACTGAAAATCAGACATTCCATAAGAATGATTTTAAGCTTTTTCTATGGTGAAGGTACAAATAATAAACTATGTTTACGTTTTTTTCCAGACTAAAGCAATTTCTGTAATACTACATTTTACAAAACTAGTCAACTGAGTTTTGTTTAAGCTCTTGAACAAGTCTAGAAGTTGTTTCCTAAGGAGAAGAAATCTTGTCCCCTCAGAGGAAATTATATTCAATTTCTTAACCTCCAAAACAATGTCAGTCTTGTCACCTGTACATTGGATAGCCAAAGCATGAAGATTTTAATTTAGCAGCATAGATACTCCAGGCTTGAATGGACCATTGTCCAGCTCCTGTGAGAAACTTGACTAATAAATATTTGAGGAAATTACTCGAGTACATACATACATGTTATCCATACATTCCTCAAGTACTTGAGATTGTCTTTTATTAAGGTTAATCACTAAAAAAGATGTTTACCAAGGTTTCTTTAACCCCCTAAAGATGTTTTCCATTTTATTGTTAAAACCCTTGGTGTTAGCAAGGTTCAGCACAAAAAAAAGGCCCAATGGTGAGAATTTCTACAAATTATGTAAAGCTTACTGAATTCGCTTTTTATGTTGCTGAGTGGTGCTTATATGAGGAAACATGCAATAAATTCATTCAACAAACGTTTAACTGAATGCCTGTTGTATGTTGAGTGTCAGTGCCATACGTAGAAAAATATTAGACCTGTAGGATCTACCCATGTAAACCATTCAGGCTAATGAATTCAGATACTCAAAGCAAGTAAATCACAGTAAAACATGGTGAGTACCCTAAAAGAAGAGCAAAGTAATATGAGGACACAGAGAATGGAGTGACTCTTTCTGCCTGGAAAAGACGGGAAGGCTTTGTGGAACAGGTGGTATTTGAACAGTACTCTATAAAGAAGAATCTGCCTGACTGAAGACCAGGTTTGTGAGCTTTCAAGTGGTAGAGGAATTGCTCGTACAAAGGGTTCAAAACATGAACGAATATTCATGTTTTAGTGTGCTTAGAGAAAACAAAGGAATGGGAGTGATGAAGCTGGTTAGATGAAAATACAGGCTATGGTAGTTTTCATACGTGTATGTGTATATTTAATATGTATATATTTTTGTATATAATAATTCTTTGTTTAAAGGGATTAATGTATTGCTTTGTGTCAAATAAGTCTGTTATAAGCCTCTGAGTTCTTCCTTTTGCCTTCGTTGCCAGGGAAGTTAGTAATAAACCTCACATTTGCCTGGACTCTTGGTATATTTGGCATATTTGCTTTTCTTTCCCACATGTAAGAAATGATTTGTGCTTTCTTGCCTCTGCTGTAAGATCCCCTGCTTGACATTGAATGCCTGCTTTCTTCCTATCCTGTTATTCATTCCATAAATATTTATTGAAAACCCACTGAGAAAATAGTCATGAAATTTACTTTTGCCTTTTAGTGTCCAAGACCTTCATGGTCCAGTTTTCCATCTCTCTATGAATATTTCTTGACAACTGCAATTCAGTGGCTTCCATTTTCACTTGGGGCTAATTCTGCAATGTCTTACAACTTCACAGGTATAAAATTCTTTCATTTGTGCTAGTGTGATCTCCATAACTAGAATGTAAGCTTCTTGCAGGGCAGGGGCCTATCATCTGCTGCTGAGCGTATCTGATAACACTAAGTATAGTGAAGAGAAGGGGAAAAGAAGCTGCACCCGTTAGTGACTCCCTGATGGTGAGTGAGACGGTCATGGCACGCGTGTTCTGCTGTTTTCAGGGATACGTACTGAAATGTTAAAAAGTTTTCTAAGACGTATCAAACCTTTGCTCAGTCCTCACTTTTGTATATTAACATAGGAATGAATGAAGCAAAAGAAGAAATCTGGATAACATCTCTAAGACTTGGAAGTCATGAACTGAAAATTTCAGAATTTGGAGGTAAAGATATTTCAATCTCTTTTTCCAATTAAAAGTCATGACTTGGAAGAGAGAGGATATGAATCACTGAAGAAATGATGTGGGAAAATTGTGTTATTTTCTGTCTTACCATAAGATTAGTGGGCTCAGAATATTAGGGACCCAAGAAGGCTTTATAATCTGATGGTCTAGTATTGAAACAGAATAGTGGCAGGAATTTAAATGGTTTCTCAGGCAAATAGATTGGAATTAGGCAAGGGCAAGGTTCAAGTTAAGAGGTAGGCATTTGACAGGATTTGAACCAAGTTTTCTAATACTCAGATTCATGTACTTATTCCACCAAACAGTCTCTCAGTGAGTTAATAGGAATGAAAAGGAATAAAGTGTTCGTCACTTACTAATTCTCCATAGAATTAGTCCATAGGTGTTATTTCCCTTTCTTTCCTCTCTAGGTTTTATTTTTCATAACAGATTGCTGCCTCTTATCTGGGTGAGGATGGGGGCCAACAACTCAGGGCTTCCTTAGTGTTCCCCTCCTTGCATCCCCCTCCCCATTGGTACCTTACCCATCTTACAGGGTAGTCATGAAGATTTAAAAAGTTATACATGTTAAGTGCCTAAATGGAGCCTGGCTCATAGTAACTGTACAAATGTTAGTTGCTGCTGTTACTGTTGTAACTATTACTATTATTT